CAAGTGTCGGTGAGGATGTGGAGAAAACAGGATCTGCACACCCTGCAGGCGGGAATATAAAATGCTGCAGCCACTTGGAAGCTTCTTGAGAGTGCCTCAAAAAGCGAAACAGAGTTGCCATATGACTCAGTAATTCCACATGTAAGCATAAGGAAATGAAGACGAATGTCCACACAAACATGTGCAGGCAGTGTTCACAGTAGCATTATTCATAACAGCCAGGAGGAGGAAGCAACCAAATTCCCATCACCTGCTGAATGGAGGAACAACGTGAGCTACCCATACAAGGAACATTACTGGCCATAAAAAGGAAGGTGCATGCTAAAACATGGCTGAACCTTGAAAACATATGCCAAGTTAAAGAAGCCAGTCACAAAAGATCACATCCTATATGAACCCATTTATATACAATGTCCAGAAGAGGCAAAGCTTCAAAGCCAGAAAGCAGATTATTGCACAGGGCAGGCGGGGTGGGAGTGGAGAGTGACAGCTAAAGGGATCAGGGCTTATTATTTTGGGGGTGATGACAATGTTCTAAAATTGATTTTGGTAATGGCTGCACAACTTTGTGAATATACTAAAAAACTGTGAATTGTATGCTTTATTTTTTGAGACAGGATCTTGCCCTGTCGCCCAAGCTGGAGTATAATGGTATGATCTTGGCTTACTGCAACCTCTGCCTCCTAGGCTCGAGCGATCTTCCCACCTCAGCCTCCTGAGTATCTTGGATTACAGGCACACACCACCATGCCCAGCTAACTGTGGTATTCTTAGGAGAGACAGGGTTTTGCCATGTTGGCTAGGCTGGTCTCCAACTTGTGGCCTCAAGCAATCCACCTGCCTTGTCCTCCCAAAGTGCTGGGTTTACAGGCACATGCCACCATGCCTGGCTAACTTTTGTATTTTTTTGTAGAAACAGGTTTTTGCCATGTGCCTAGGCTGGTCTCAAACTCCTTAGCTCAAGCAATCTGCCTGGTTCGGTCTCCCAAACTGCTGGGATTACGGTGTGAGCTGCTGTGCCTGGCTTGTATGTTATAAGTAGGTAAAATGTATGGTAAGGTTAATTACACTGCAAGAAAACCACTAAAACATACAGACAGGTCGCTAAGAATTGAAGATACCAAAGAAAACCCTCCAACTGGAAAGACAAGGATCAAAACAGACAGAAAAACAGAATTAAAAGGAAACAAAGAAAAGAGCAGGAGGCCAGGTGCAGTGGCTAAATCCCAGCAGTGTGGGAGGCCAAGGCGGGCGGATCACTTCAAGTCAGGAGTTCAAGACCAGCCTGACCAATATTGCAAAAACTTGTCACTACTAAAAATACAAAAATTATCTGGGTGTGGTGGCATGTGCCTGTAGTCCCAGCTACTTGGGAGGCTGAGGCAGGAGAATCGCTTAAACAGGGAGACAGAGGTTGCACTGAGCCAAGACCCTGCCGCTGCACTCCGGCCTAAGCAACACAGCGAGACTCAGTCTGGGTGTGGGTGGGACGAGGGTTAGGAGCAGGAGAAAACTTAAGAAATAACACTCACTTCATACCCTTAATAAAAACAAGATAAAAAGTGCATCCATCAGACATCTTGATGTAATCACAGAACAAGAAGGAACTCTGGAAAATTAAAATGTCAGAGCCAATATTAAATATTCAACAGGTGCGGCGCAGATGCTGCTGTATACCATTAATCTAATTGACTATAAGATGCATATTTTATAAACTACCCAGAAAAAACAAAATGTCATCAACTGAACTAAGATACATCCATAAAAGAATGCAGGCAGCTTCTTCTACAGTATTAGAACCCTGATTTTATTCAGAATGACAACTTACCCAACTAAAAAAGTACCTTTCCCTGGTTCCTTGTGGCTAGATGCAACCATACAACTAATTAGGTGTTATGCAGGACTTCCCAGCAGGCCCCATACACAGAGCTAAACTGGCTTCTTTTGATGCTTGGAAGATGGATATGGTGGCGGGAACACCAGCAGTCATGACCCCAAGGTCAGAAGTCATACGCTGAGGATGGCAGATAGAGAGAAGCCAGGGCCCTGATAATGTCAGCAGTGCTGGGCCAGCCTGGACTGTCTCCCTCTAGACTTCCTTGATGTGAAAGAAAAACAATTTATGCCACTGTTTCTTTAGGTTTTGTGTGATATGTTACTTGGACACAACCTTAACTAATTCAGAAGAGAGTCAGAAGACAAAATCAAGGAAATCTCTAAGAAAACAGACAAGAGGTTGGGCGCGGTGGCTCAAGCCTGTAATCCCAGCACTTTGGGAGGCCGAGGTGGGTGGATCACCGGAGGTCAGGAGTTCAAGACCAGCCTGGCCATCATGGTGAAACCCCATCTTTATAAAAAAAAAGAAAAGAAAACAAGTTATATAACAAAAGGTAGGGAATTAGAACACTATTAAACTATGTCAGAAGATAATGACACAATGCATTAAAAAATGATTCTTGAAAATTATTTCCCAGCACTTTGGAAGACCAAGGTGGGCAGATCACTTGAGACCAGGAGTTCGAGATCAACACTGGTTGATTCTTTGCCTGATCAACACTGCAAAACCCCATCTCTCTTAAAAATACAAAAATTAGCCAGGCCTGGTGGCACATGCTGGTAATCCCAGCTACTTAGAAGGCTGAGGCACAAAACTGCTTGAACCTGGGACGTGGAGGTTGCAGTGAACCAGAATCGAACACTGCACTCCAGCCTGGGCAACAGAGCAAAACTTCGTCTCAAAACAAACAAACACACACTTCGTCTCAAAACAAACAAACACACACACACACACACACACAGTCTCAAAAATAAAGTCATCATTTTCTAGGGAAAACGATGCATGATCTAGATTCTTTACCCAGACTACCAATCAGTCAAGTATAAGGATATAATAAAAATAATGACATTTCAAAGAAGTAAGGTCATTTACATACCATGCATCTTTTCTTAGAAGGTACTAGAGGATGTGTTCCAGCAAAATGAAGAAGGTATATCAATAAAGAGAGAAATGTAAGAGCTAGAAAATTGTACAATCAATATAGGAGAGCCTCAGGATGACAACTGTAGGGCAAGCCTAAAGAATAACACGTTCAAACTGCAGCAGAACAGAGGCAGCTGGGAGGAGGATCTCTAGGAGAAAGGAGGAATTGATAAATTATCTAATAGTTTTGAATATTTGGGAAGAAAAGTTTTAATTTTATATGGTGGTTCTGATAGAGCAATTTACAAACTTTTAAGAATAGCCTTCTTAAGAAATATGGAAGTACAAGAGCCATTTATTTGCAGGAAAAAAAAGTTGTACAAGAGGTAAAAATGCAATCATAATACGCTTCTTGACTCTTTGTGCTTTTGTTTTGAGGCAGGGTCTTGCTCTGTCACTCAGGCTGGAGTGCAATGGTGCGATTTTGATTCACTGCAACCTCTGCCTCCCAGGCTCAAGCCATTCTCCTATCTCAGCCTCCTGAGTAGCTGAGACCACAGGCATGAGCCACCATGACTGGCTAATTTTTGTATTTTTTGTAGAGATGGGGTTTCATCATGTTGCCCAGGCTGGTCTTGAACTCAAGTGATCTGCCCATGTTGGTTTTCCAAAGTGCTGGGATTACAGGGATGAGCCACCACACCCAGCCCCCTCTTGGCTCTTTGGTGATCAATATACATGTCAAAAAATGTGAAATTTTATGACTTTTACTAAATTAAATAACTTATTGGATATTATTACATTGGGATGACGCGGGGAGAAGTGATATGTAATGGAATGGAAACATAGTGTCTTAATCATGACATTGAGATCCAGCAACATAAGCATATTACTTAGAACTAAAGAGATAAAACCCAAATAAACAGCTAAAATTTGCAGTGACTACTTCTGGGGATTGGGATTCGGGTGTGGGGAGGAGTAGGACAAGAATATGATGCTTTCCATTCTTTTTTTTTTTGAAAGTGGTATGGGAGCAAATAAAAGGTAAGAATCTTTGCACAAGAGGCATTGAAAGGAGCGTGAAGAGAACTGAAGGGGACTGGGGAAAGGAATGAAGGCGGAGTCACGCAAGCCTCAGTCCATGTCCTGAGAATATTCCAAGCCTCTGTCACAGAGCCTGATTTCCTGCCCTTCCTTACTGCTGGCTTCATTAGCGCTTATTTGTGACTGTCTCCTTGTACCCCTTTTCTGCACATACTGGGCCCCCAGGAAGCTAAGCTCCCAGATCAGCTACTGTACCTCCTGGCCTCAGGCAAGACATTTCTTTCTTTTTAAATTAATTAATTTATTTTTTAAGATCCAGTTTCACCATGTTGGTCAGGCTGGTCTCAAACTCCTGACCTCAGGTGATCCACCCACCTTGGCCTCCCAAAGTGCTGGGATTACAGGTGTGAACCACCACACCCGGCAACAAGACGTTTCTAATGGAGGAGGTTTTACCCACAAAACACCTGCCCATGGGTGAGGTGGGAGGGCAGCAGAGGCCAAGTCTATAGGCTGAGCTGTCTGAGAGGTTGAGTAGGTGTTTCTTCTGTGGCCTTGCCCTGCAGAGTGTCAGCTGGATGACCCATCCAACACTTCCCTCCCCTTCTCCAAGCTCTGTCCAGCCCAGCATGCCTTGGACACGAGCACTCAATGACCAGCTCCAGGCCCGGAACAAGTGCAGGGCTTGCCATTCACAGATCTGGGTGACAAGGGCGCTCCTCAATACATCTTCACTCATCCCTGTAGGGTCCCCTTTGTCTCTTTCTCCAACTAAACCTCCTGAGGGCCCACTTTCTGCTGAGCTTAGCTGGCATCAATACCCATGAAGCAAGGCCTCATTCAGCTAGCTCTCTGGGATCACCACCCCACTCCTCGGCTCAGCTCCAACCATCACAGAGCCATGCTCTCCCCTTCTCAATGGTGCTGCCTCCCCAAGTTTCCACCATGGCAACGGCACACTCTGGGCACTCTCGCCCCATTCTCACTACCACGGATGCTCTGGTGGCAGGAAGGGAAGAGTTTATTACAGGCTTACCCAGAACTTCACAAGAAAAAAGGCATTGGAGGGTCCCCGTTCGAAGAGCTCCTTGAGTCCACCCTTCTTCTCAGGGAATTTGTCATAGATCTGGCGGATGTCTACGGCTTCGAGGTAGGGGTCGCTATAGCTTGGGCTGGACTGGCCAATGTGCACAAACAGGTGCTTGTTGTACTGCAGAGAGAGTGGGTTTGAGGGAGATGGAGCATGGGCCAGATGGACAGACAGACAGCCCCGGCTCCACATGCCCACCACGTGACCTGGAGCAAGTCGCTTGGCTGCAGTTTCCCCATGAGTAAAATGGAGATGGTGAAAGTCTCTTTCTTTTATTTTACATGCTGGACTTCTGAGTAAGAGTCTGTTTGGTTCATGGTTCTTCAGCTAAAAAGAGGTTTGAGCTGCACACAGTGTCTCACACTTATAATACCAGCATTTTGGGATTACAAGATGGGTGAATCACTTGAGGTCAGGAGTTCAAGACCAGCCTGGCCACCATGGTGAAACTCCATCTCTACTAAAAATACAAAAATTAGCCAGGTAAGGTGTGGTGGTGGGCGCCTGTAGTCCCAGCTACTCGGGAGGCTAAGGCAGGAGAACTCAGGAGGCAGAGGTTGCAGTAAGCTGAGATCATGCCACTGCACTCCAGCCTGGGTATAGAGCAAGACTCTGTCTCAAGGGGAAAAAAAAAAGGTCTGAAGATGTCGGACATCTAATCACCTTGGCCTCCTCTAGGTCTTTTTCTGACCTTTGCAGGTGATACTGGTCACCCAGGACACTGGACACCAAAGGGGACAGGCTGGTATCCCGTAGGATGTGAAGCAGACACAGGAGACTCCTCAGCTTCCTGCCCGCCTCTCAGAGCCAGGGAAAGGCTGGGACAGTGTGGGGGTGGGGGTGGGGCCAGAGTGACCTTAGTCTAAGGGTTGGTTGAGTTAGAAGGGGAGGAGGAACGCAGGACAGGGAGAGAGGAGCAGGAGGCTGCCTGGGCACTGGAACATGGACAGGAAGCCAGGGAGGAGGGAAAGAGGGAAGAGCAGTGGCGTGGAGGAAAAGAGGAGTGGAGAAAAGGAACAGAAGGGAAGCTCGGAAAGGAACGGGGAACCTGAATTAAGGCCCAGTGTGGAGTGGGGCAAGAGCACCAGAAGCAGAAACAGAGGTGGAGGGGGCAGCTGGGGAGCCAGCCAGGCAGAGGCCAGGACCTACCGTGTCCGGGTCTTGCTGCTGCTCTAGGAAGGCAGAGAACTCCAACATCCAGAGTTTGGAGCTGGCCACGCTGCGGCCCTGCCATGGGGGTGCTGGGGGTGCAGAGGGCGACGGGGCAGGCCCTGCAGGAGACTCAAAGCCTGCACAAAGTGAGAGAGGCACATGGAACCTGACCTCATTCACCCACCCTGCCCACACCCTCTGCAAGGACCCCAAGCCTCCTTAGGGGGACCTGTGCAGCCTGGGGGACCGCCTGTCTCCCTAAATGAACCTCCTAGCAGGGTTGGTAGAGAGAGTGCAAGTCTTGGGCCAGGGCATCCCGGAGCTGCCCGGGTGGAAAGGGGCTTGACTGGTACAACTCAAGCCACTCAGGCCTTGGCATGGAACCACTGAGCAAGACTGGATTCTAGAGGGCAGCTGGGGCCCTGCAGGACCGAGAGGCTTCCAGAACAGGCACTGTTAAGTTCCCACCCTCAAGCAACTTCTGCTACAGTCAGAGAAATAACCAGATCAATCAACAATTACAATGTGACATCAGCCCCGAGAGATGGGGACGTTTCCTGTTTGCGTCACAGGTGTCTCCCCAGCTCCCAGAACAGGGCCTGGCCCAGAAGAGGCTCCTGATCCAGGGTTGCTAAGAACCTACACCAGTCCTACTGTAGAGTTTAGATCATGTCCTGAAGGCACCAGGGGAACAGGAAAGCACCATAAGCCTGGAAGCAACACTGTGAGACTGAGGCTTTGGTGAGTGACAGGGTGATGAGAGGAGGTGAGAGAGGGGACAGGGAGCTGGTGAAGAGGCTTCTGCAGGGACGCAGGCAAGAGCCAGCAGCAGGCCCGGAGTGAAGACAGGGTCAGCATGGACAGGAGAGAACTGGCATGACAGAGGGCAGACGGGACGCGATGCTGTGACTTGGTTTTGATGTGTAAATGAGAGAAAGCAGTCTTCAGGACCTGGGGGCAGGAGGAGGAGCAGGGCTGCTCTCGGTGGCAGGGAAAGCCAAGGGGCAGAGCAGGCAGACTCCACGCCAGAAAGGGCAGCTGGTCTTGTCCTACAGAGTGGGAGGCGGTGAGAGCCCCTCCTGAGAAAGGTGAGGACACAGTGGAGCCTGTCAGTGACAGGGCGGGGTGGGGGCTCCTGTCGGCAACGTTGGCTGCCTCCACTAACCAGGTCTTCTCCCACAAGGGTCCCTCTTCCCGGGAGGGGCCCCAGGCTGGTGAGCTGGACACCCCTCAGCCCTCCCAGGAGCCAGGTGTGCGAGGCATACTGCAGCAACAAGGCCCAGGAGCAGGCATTGCCCTTGGAACTGCATGTGCCCCACAAGCCCTGAGCACAGCTGGGAGGGGAACAGCAGCAAGGCAACCTGAGGGGCATGAAGGGGCTTGGCACTGGGCTGAGGTGTGCATGCTGGGGGTAAGGAATGGGGTGTGGCCAGGGACTGGGATGTGTGGTCGCAGTGCATCATGGGCAGCATTTAAGAGGGACATGCAGGCATTCAGCTATTGGGGGCCTGGGCCCAGAGGCAGGAGCCGCATAGCTGCAATGGCAAGGGAGCCACGCAGCACCTACCCACCTGGCAGAGGCAGCGGATGCTGGACAGCATAGGTTTGTTGAGAGAAAGGCTTCACACTGCGGGAGAGAGGAGAGAGGGAGGTGTCAGCCTCGGGCAGGCTGCTGCCCTGACCCCTACACTGGGTCCAACGGTCTGTGTGGCAGGTCCTGGTAGTCAGGATTTCAGTGGTCCTGATGGGCCTTGGTCTCCTGCTCCCACCCCTGCTAACTCCCTCCAGTTTTGTGGTGGGTCGGCAGACACAGTGTGTCTGATGAAGAAATCCACCCCTCCCTCTCTTCCTCCCAGGCCAGCCAGAGGTCTCATTACCAATCTCCTCCCCTGGGGGACTCCGGCTCTGGCCGTACCTATACCCTAGACAGACTGAAATTTTGGCAAATACCACCCTATGGTGTGGACATCACAGGTGAGCCCAGTGATGCCTGAGAGCAGGAGAGCCCAATCCCTGAGCGCAAAGCCATCCTGAAAGGCTGACCCCAGCACTGGCCCTAGCACACCCTGGAGCCCAGGCTCAATGTCATGAGTTTATGGGTTCAAGTTCAGTTATGGGAGCAACTGGCAGCAGAAACCAGGCCATACTCACTCATGGGACGTTCCGGCTTGGCCTGGTAAAGCTCCTTGCCAAAACTGAGGAGGCAAAAGGCATGGAATCAGCATGGCCCCAGGTGCACCCGGGCATGGCCCTAGGGGCCCCGTGGCATGGGGATGGGAGTGGGACAGGGCAGGGCCTCCACTGGGAGGAGAGGCTGCAGCCCAAGCCCTCACCTAGCTAGTAAATGTTAACAGGCCCAGAGTGTGTTTCAGGCGGCTCTCAGGCTCTGTGGATGAGGGGCTCCGTGGGAAAAGCACCGAGGTGTGGTCCACACTGCACAAGGCAACCCCCCACAGAGTCACAGTGCAGACCAAGAACCCACTTACGGCCAAGGGTCCCACACTTACCCACAGAACCACTGTGTCCTATCTGTTTAACATGCAGACGGACTAGTGCTCTCTGGGACACACTTTAAAAAATGCCGTGGCCTGGCACTGCCCCTTCCCCACGTGCCTAGGGTGGTGCTGCAGGTACCCTGAAGACTCACTTAGTCCCTGGAGCCACGAAAACCCTGTGAGGAGATAGCTCTGAAAAGGGGCTGTTCTGGATCATTCTGAGAGTGTGGCCAGCATGGCCATGGCTGGGAAATTAAAAATCTGACCAGGGCTTTGTTTTGGGCACCAGCTCTCCACCTGGCAGGAGGGCAGGAATGAGGCTGCGTGGCATGGGCTGCCCAGGGACATACTGGTCTCAGACTTCAGCTCCAGTTCCCTCAGCTTCAGCTTCCTCATCTGTAAACTGGGCCAGCTTGGCAGAGCTACCAGTTGGTCAGCTCCTGGGGATGGCCCCCTTCCCCCTTGTGAACAGCTGTCCCAATACCAGCAAGCTGGGACTTGTGTGGCCCCTGGGTCCTTGTTCCCTCCTTCCCTGACTGCCCTGGCCAATAGGACTCAGGTGAGAGAAATCTGGGCCGGCCAGTGCTTCTGGCTCTTCTGAAGGGGGAGGAGGGTGGAGGGAGGGCTGGCCTGGCCTCCGGCTCTCAGCAGCCCACTTACCCCTGAGACTGCTGGGCGGCCAGGGCCCCGGGCGAGGGCCATGCTACTGTGGAAGGCCGTGGCGGAGATGATCTGTGCAGACGACATGGCAGCCATGCTCTGCAGGGCCTTGTCCTTAGCTGCCTGGTCCTGAGGGAGACATTGCAAGGGAGGACCTCAGCAGGGTCACTAGTCAGGCTGAGACCAGGCAGATCTGGCCCTCAGGTCAGGGAAGCTGTCTTGCTGCCAGTAGCCAGAGCTGGGGGACCAGGCGTTAGGTCTGTGCTGAGCTATTAACTTGTTTTGCAACTGAGAAAGTCACTGACTGGTTTCTCTGGCCAGTTTTCTCATCTGTCAGAGGGGCGTGATACTTGCTCTGCTTATTTCATCAGAGCTTAGAGAAACATTGTCTGTCATTTTACTAATTACGGGGCCACCTTGAGAACAAGGGTCTTCTATGCCTTGCTCACCTCTCTACCTCACATGCCTAGCTCCGCACCTGTCTTGTGAAAACGATGCACAAGTATCCGCTGGATCCCTCCTCAAGTGCACAGGAAGGACCATCCCTGGCCACATGGGCTGTCTGGAGGCAAGAGACCGCCTCCTGTGGCCCCGCCTGCCTCGTTCCTGCCCTAAGGACCTCCTTGGGCACGGCAGGCACCAGGACTCACCCATATTTCACCTGTCGGATTGTAAATACTCATGTCTGCCCTTCAAAGGTTCTAAGACCCCAGAAGATGGATTCACCCTGCATAGGCCCAGAACAAATACACACACAGGGAAAGCCACTTGGATGGCACCGGTAACATCACTAATAATTTGTTATATTCGTAAAAGCCAGGGGTTTCCATCCTGAGTGCCCCAATTCCAAAGGTCTTCAAAATCAATGACACAACATTCCCTATTTCAAGAAGCCTAATGGAAATTGTGTTTTTGTTTTGTTTTGTTTTGTTTCAGAGACTCTGTCGCATAGGCTGAATGAAGTATTGTACAATCAACATTCACTATAGCCTCAAACTCCTGGGTTCAAATAATCCTCCCATCTCAGCCTCCTGAGTAGCTGGGACCACAGGCATGGGTTATGGTACCCTGCAGGGATTACCAAAAATGAGAACCCTCCCCACACACACACACAGACTGCAACGGCAAGTATTAGTAACTGTCTGCAGCTTTAACAGGCTAAATAGCTCAACTGAGTCAACCCAGGAGCTCAGTTTAAAAATTCAGTATCTGGCCGGGCGCCGTGGCTCACGCCTGTAATCCCAGCACTTTGGGAGGCCGAGGCGGGTGGATCACGAGGTCACGAGATCGGGACCATCCTGGTCACCATGGTGAAACCCCGTCTCTACTAAAAATACAAAAATTAGCTGGGCATGGTGGTGCATGCCCGTAATCCCAGCTACTCAGGAGGCTGAGGCAGGAGAATTGCCTGAACCCAGGAGGCGGAGGTTGCGGTGAGCAGAGATCGCGCCATTGCACTCCAGCCTGGGTAACAAGAGCGAATCTTCATCTCAAAAAAAAAAAAATTCTGTATCTGCCAGGTGCAGTGGCTCACACCTGTAATCCCAGCACTTTGGGAGGCCGAGGTAGGTGGATCATGAGGTCAGGAGTTCAAGACCAGCCTGGCCAAGACAGTGAAATCTTCTTTTTTTTTTTTTTTTTTTTTGAGATGGAGTTTCACTCTTGTTACCCAGGCTGGAGTACAATGGCACGATCTTGGCTCACCGCAACCTCCGCCTCCTGGGTTCAGGCAATTCTCCTGCCTCAGCCTCCTGAGTAGCTGGGATTACAGGCATGCACCACTATGCCCAGCTAATTTTTGTATTTTTAGTAGAGACGGGGTTTCACCATGTTGGCCAGGATGGTCTCGATCTCTTGACCTCGTGATCCACCCGCCTCGGCCTCCCAAAGTGCTGGGATTACAGGCGTGAGTGAGCCACCGCGCCCAGTGAAATCTTTAATTTAAAAAAAAAAAAAAAAGAAAAGAAAGAGATTCAATATCTGGCCAGGCGCGGTGGCTCTTGCCTATAATCCCAGCACCTGGAGAGGCTGAGGTGGGTGGATCACTTGAGCCCAGGATTTCTAGACGAGCCTGGGCAACTTGGCGAAACACTGTCTCTATGAAAAATACAAAAATTAGCTGGGTGTGGTGGTGTGCACCTGTAGGCCACAATACTCAGGAAGCTGAGGTGGGAGGACTGCTTAAACCTGGGAAGCAGAGGCTGCAGTGAGCTGAGTTTGCACCACTGTACCACTCCAGCCTGGGCAATGGAGCAAGAATCTGTCTCAAACAAACAAACAAACAAACAAAAGAAATTAAATATCTTTATGACCTTCAGACAGCATCTCACTATACCCCAGGCTGGTCTCAAACTCCTTCCCTCCTCAACCTCCCAGTGCTGGGATTACAGGCCTGAGCCACTGTTCCCAGCCATGAATGAGAAAGATAAAACCATCATTGGATAATTAACAATAATTAACTTGGTAGACCTAGATCTCCTTTAAGTGATACAAAGGTTGAGAACCTCCCAACTACTTGGGAGGCAGGAGGATCACCGCAGCCAGGAGGTCAAGGCGCCCAGCCTGGGCGACAGGGTGGGAGTCTCTAAAAGCTAAATAAAGTAAACACAGAAGTTGAGAAGCAACAGCGTGAGCCTTGGAGCTCGCAAGCTCTTCTGAGGGATGCCTCCACGGGGTCCCCACTGCAGCTCTGTGAGGTGGGCAGCACCACAGCCTGGAGGCTCAGGAGAGGCTCAGTGCTCCCCCCACCCTCCTGGCGCCATGCAGTGTGGAGCCAGAACACAGCAGGCCTTTCCACTCGTCCTCTTAAGGTGACCATTTCACCCGTGTGGCACAAGGTAGCCCATGGAAGGTTTTCAAGACCACAACCTCGGCTAGGCGTGGTGGCTCACACCTGTAATCCCAGCACTGTGGGAGGCTGAGGCGGGGAGATCACCTGGGGTCGGGAGTTCAAGACCAGCCTGACAAACATGGAGAAACCCTGTCTCTACTAAAAATAAAAATTAACCGGGCGTAGTGGCGCACGCCTGCAATCCCAGCTACTCGGGAGGCTGAGGCAGGAGACTCGCTTGAACCTGGGAGGTGGAGGTTGCCGTAAGCTGAGATCACACCACTGCACTCCAGCCTGGGGAACAAGAGTGAAACTCCGTGTCAAAAACAAAAAAAAAATACAACCTCACTCTGACTCTGTGAGACTAGCAGGACCTTTATTTTAAGATGAAGAAACAGGCTCTAAGAATTGGGGTGACTAGGGTACTGAGAGTGGTGATGGTTGCCAGGTGAGCCTGGTCCAGACTGGCACATAGGGGGCTGTGCAGACCAAGGGGTGCAGGGAGACGCATCAGGATTTGACATCAGAGGGCAGTGGGGAGGGGGAACCGTTCTGAGTAGTGGGTCATCTTCAACGTGGACACAGCAGTGAAACAGATATTTGTCCCTGGCCCTTCCTGGCCCTCCCCACTGTCCTTTTGGGCCAGACTTGGGCTTTGCTCTCAGAGGCTGTCTCTCATAACCAAAGAGGGAGCTAACTAGTAAGTCTAAGGGTGTGTCTCCTCCCAGGACACTTGCACTTTTCAGGATGCCAGCCCCTGACCTCTCTCTGCAGGAGGGCACGAGGGACTTGGCAGGCACACCCCCACAAGCCCGCAGACCTCGGCGCTTGACTGCATCACGAGGCCAGGGCTGCATCTGCTCAGTGCCTGCCTTCCTGGATACTCGATCTAAACAAATGGCTGGGGCTCAGGAAACCAGGCCTGGGCAGGGTGGGGCAGGGGTCAGGAGGAAGTGGGAAGGACCTGATGGGGAGTGACGGCAGTGGCCGGGCAATGGAGCCAGGAGCCGCTAACTGGGGCAGGAGGGGAACTCGGATGCCACCTTACTTGCCTGTCATTTTACAGATGAGGAAACCGAACGGAGCTCCAGGAGGCTCCCGTGACTCTGCCCAAGCACCCATGGCCACAGGGCAGAGCCAGGCCTAGGACCCAGCCTCTCACTCAGGATTTCTCCTGGATCACTATCTAACCCAGAGCTTAATCACTTTGGGTTCCAGATCCTTTGAGAATATGACAAAATCCTCACAGCAATCTCTCCAGGGAAACTCACATAGACATGAACATTTGCATATTTTAAGGAGTTTATGGCTCCCCTTAGTGTCTGTCCAGCCATCTACTGAAGGCTGTCCTTGGGCCCCAGGTCAGAACCTGTGGACAAGAACAAGTACAATTCCCTAAAGCAAATGTGGGCCGGACAGCCGGCCCCCAAGGGATCACCCTAAACCCAGCAGTGGGAAGTCTGTTCACCATGGTCACCTGTGGGGTCCCAGTGAGTCAGAGGCAGACGAGAGAGGAAAAACAGAGCAGGGCTGGGCTCCAGGGCTGTGGGTGCTCCCAGGGTACATGAGCCAGGCTGAGAGGCAGGGAGCAACAGCTGAGGCCTGGTCAGCTGTCCCAGGGAAACAGGAGCGAGGTGCCAGACCACAGCTGTGGGGCTCGGGGAACAGCTGGGCTGATGGCAGGAGGAATGGAACTGAGTGGGCAGTGGGGTGTGGCTTCCTAGGAGGCAGAAAGGCCTGTGGTTCCCACCCACTCATTCTGAGATTCCAGTGTCAGGATCATGAACTGCCAGGGCCAGATGGGACTTTCAAGGTCATCTAGTATAGTGGCTTTTCTTTAAGATAAAAAATATTTTTAGAGATGGGGTCTCACTGTATTGCCCAGGCTGAAGTGAAGTGGCCAGTCGCAGGCACAATCACACCTCACTCAGCCTCCAACTCCTGGCCTCAAGAAATCTTCCTGCCTCCACCTCCAAGTAGCTGGGATTACAGGCGTGTGTGCCCAGCTAGCCCAGTGGCTCTTTTTTTGAGATGGAGTCTCACTGTTGCCCAGGCTGGAGTGCAGTGCCACCATTTCAGCTCACTGCAACCTTCACCTCCTGGGTTCAAGTGTTTCTCCTGCCTAAGCCTCCTGAATAGCTGAGATTACAGTTGTGGGCCACCACGCCTGGCTAATTTTTGTATTTTCAGTGTAGACAGGGTTTCACCATGTTGACCAGGTTGATCTCAACTCCTGACCTCAAGTGATCTGCCCATCTTGGCCTCCCAAAGTACTGAGATTACAGACATAAGCCACCACACCTGGCCTCCCAGTGGCTTTTAAACTGGGTTCGGAGGTCCCCTAGAGTTCAAGCGCCATGGGGTAGGAGAGGATTCATGGGAGGAGAGGGGCCTTGCCAACCTAGCTTTGACCAGAATGGCTCTCTGAGAACACATTAGGGTGATATTTTGTTGGGGGAAAACAAGAAAAGGTGCTACATTGCTTTAAAAAACAAATGCGTTTTAGACATAAGCCAGGCCCAGTGGCTCATAATCTCAGCACTTTGAGAGGCCAAGGCAGGAGGATCTCTTGAACCCAGAGGTTTAATACCTGCTCAGGCAACACAGAGAGACGCTGTCTCTATTAAAAAAATAGAAAAAAATGGCTGAGCAGTGGCACTTGCCTGTGGTCCCAGCTATTCAGGACAAGACTGACGTGGGAGTATTGCTGGAGCTTATGAGGTCGAGGCTGCAGTGAGCTATGATTGCGTCACTGCACTCCAGCGTGGGTGACAGAGAGAGATCCTGTCTCTAAAAATAAATAAATAAGAATGTTCATAAATGGTCTAGTCTAGTGCCTCAAATGTCAGATCTTCCCACTGACTGGCTGAGCAGGCTCTGTTGTCATCGCCTCCCTGATGGAGCTCTCACTCCCTCCTTGTGTTCACCCAAAGGGCCCCTGGTTCCAGGGTCCCAGAGGCCTGACTCCCGTGAGGAGCAAAACCACCCCCAAAGGAATGCCAGCAACATCAGGCCCCCCAAGAGCCGTCACCTATCAGCAGAGGCCCTGCAAGATGGGGCTGACCCAGGGAAGGGAAGGAGCCCCTAGTCCTTCCCTGGGGAAGGAATTCCCACAATACCATAAACACCACCCCCAACCCCACAGCAGCTACCCCCCCATGCCCCTGCCACTCCACATGCTCTGGTTGAGGGCACTAAGTGACCCTCAAGAAATGAAGGCTGGCGAGTGATCCAGCTGCTCTGAGTCATATGAGCTCCTCTAAGCAGGAGCCAGCAAGTGGGGAATCCGAGCAGGAGCCTGGCCTGTAGCTCCCAGGGTGTGGGACGTCCACACACTTGGCCCTCCTGTGGAGATGGGAGAGGTTATAGGTCCAACCTGGCTCTCCTCAATAGAGAGAAGCACACTGACTTGCACATCAGCAGCCACGCCCTCACCCCAAAGGGGAGACTTATGCTGCTGGAGAAAGCTCCCCACTCCCGGCCCCTCCAGCCCCCATACCGCGGTTTCCTTACCTTTAGCTTGGCCTGGATCTCGCGAGCTTTGCGACGAGCCAGCACCTGGATGTGGCTGGAGACCTGAGGCAGGGAGAGAGGGCTACTGTCCCTACCTCCCGACAACCTGTATTCCCCAGCCTGGCTTCCTGACCCTCACCCTCCACAGCCCTCAACCCCTATCTGTGGACCAAATGAATGAATGAATGAATGAATGAGTCAATTGGTGGGCCCTCAGCCCTGCCTTGCCCAGCTAATCCAAAAGCTGGCAATATTTTAAAAGTCCAGTGCCAGCCAGGAGGGGTGGCTCATGCCTATAATCCCGACACTTTGGGAGGCCAAGGCAGGCAGATCACTTGAGGTCAGGAGTTCAAGACCAGCCTGGCTGACATGGTAAAACCCTGTTTTTACTAAAAATTCAAAAATTAACTGGGCATGGTGGCATACTCCTGTAATCTCAGCTACTCAGGAGGTTGAGGTAGCAGAATTGCTTGAACCCAGGAGGCAGAGGCTGCAGTGAGTTGAGATCGTGCCACTGCACTCCAGCCTGGGAGAGAGGGTGGGACTCTAACTCAAAAAACAAAAAAGTGGTGCCAATGTTTTCCTGTGTGTCCTAGTTTCCTGGAGAAGGATGAGAGCGGGCTGTTGACGCCCCAGAGAGGCAAGGGGTTTCCTCCTAAGTGATGGCAACAGAGACCCCAAGAAAACTGGACTACCCGGCCGGGTGTGGTGGCTCACACCTGTAATTCTCGCACTTTGGGAGGCCGAGGCAGGTGGATTACCTTGGTCAGGAGTTCAAGACCAGCCTGGCCAACATAGTGAAACCCTGTCTCTACTAAAAATATAAAAAATCGGCTGGGCATGGTAGTGGGTGCCTGTAATCCCAGCTACTTGGGGGGCTGAGGTAGGAGAATCTTGAACCTGGAAGGTGGAGGTTGAGGTGAGCCGAGATCATTGCACTCCAGCCTGGGTGACAAGAGCGAAACTTCGTCTCAAAAACAAAAAGGGAAACTGGACCACCTGTGACATGCCCCACAGAGATAACTCATCCACAGCTGCTGCCCCTTAAAAGCCCGAGCCTGGTCCTGGGAAAGCCTGGCCCACCTTGGGAGCAGGCTAGTGCTGGGATACCACCCCTGGGACCCCTACCCGTCTCCTGAGGCCCACCTGCTTCCTGGTGCGGGTCTTCCCTGTCCGGAGCTTGATGTAGCGGGCAATCAGCTCGTTCCGACCTGCAGAGACACCAGCAGCCTCTCAGTGGGGAGAAGGACAAAAGGCTGGAAATGGCAAGGGGGTGCAGGGTACCTTCCGCACTGGGAGGAGCCCTGCCCTCACTCTCTGCCCATCCTAAGCAGAAATGTGGGGTGAGGATTCTGTGGGTTCCCTCTCTGGATCAGCAGCAAGAGGAAGACAAGGCCTCACTGTGGGGACTGAAACCTGAGAACAAGATGAACAGGAACCATGGCCGCCAACCACACACAGCCTGAGGAACTCCCAGAGCCTCCCTTGACCCCGTACCATTCCTCACCCAGGGCTGGCCGCCTCCTCCCCTCTCCCCACACTTTCTCCTGGGGCCTTCTGCACACTTGTGAGGCTCCAGGGAGGTGCCGGGTCATTGGCCTAGCCCTGTGTGACTGCCACAGTGCCCTCCATCTCTGTAAATGAGGAGGAGTGTCCACACTTCTTGTCCTGACTGTGGGCAGCAGCGGGCACGGGGGGTGAAACTGCTGAAACACTGAGTGTCCCCGGAGAGGAGGCCTGAGCCCGTTTGCTCATGAAGAAAAGCCAGTCAGTGCACATGTGCAGCCCCGTGGCTGACTCAGACACCTCAACAGCAAGGTTCCCGAGGGACTGCTGCCAAGCCAGAAGCATCCTGGAAAACCCCAAGGAGCGCCCATGGCTTCCAGTATTGAAAAAGATGATGAAAGGGGCTGCTGATTTCAAAGTGTCACCTAGCTCAGGGACGGCGTGTGCCCAAACAATGGAGTCCGTGGGTGCTTCAGACAGGGATGTGTCCAGAGGACCAGGGGCTAGCTTGGGATGGGTGGTCAGGCAAGCCCTCAGGTGGCCCCTGACCCCTGCATAGTGTTAGACCATACAGAAAAGCATCAGGTGAGGAGAGGCAGAGCAAGAGGGTTTGAATTGGAGCACCTCCTTGCTCCACCTTAGGGGATCAGAGGGAGCAGCTGCCAGCCTGCCTTGTCCTGAGGAGCCTGGGAGCTTCTGTCGGTCCATGGGAGGAAGCTGCTGGTACCCGGGGAGGTGAGGGGAGTGGGCTGCCTGCCACTTGGGTTGTAACCAGAGTGCACAGCCAAGGCCAAGCTGGCCCCCCAGCTGACCTTTCCCCAATGCCAAGGCCAAATTAAGAGGCTACTCTCCAGAGGTACTGTCTGCCAGAAAAGGTTTGCTGGCGTGGGACCACTGCCTTGTCTGTGTTGGAGGAAGGAGGGAGGGGAGAATCAGAGTCTGGGGACATTGTCTGCGGGCTGATCTACACCTAAAACCCTGAGTCCACAAGATGTCTCCTCCTCTCAAAGCTTTCCAGGAAAATGCTTTGGTGGTCTAGCGAATGGTCAACAGTTCTACCCTAGATCTAACTAAAGGCACTCGTGTGACCTCTCGGGTCTAAGTCATCACCGGTGGCTCAGTGAACTAGGACCACAGACCTGGGAGCTGTGGAGCCGGGCTAGAACCTGGCAGCTCCACAAATGAGCTCTGGGAGCACGGCAAGTCTCTTCCCTTTAGGGACTTTCACTCAGTCTTCTCTTCTTAAATCTAGTTCCTTTAAGGTTTTTCCTCCAGATTTTTCCAAATTTCTACAAATGCAGGACACAGACCTCAACGCTGACTCAGAACATTCTGTGGCTCAGTTTCCTTTTTTGTAAAATGATCATGCTTTAGGCCCAGGTTGGTAACCCAGCTCAGAGACTAGTCCAGGGGCAAAGAAAAGCACGAGGGAGGAAGAGAGGTTCCCAAGAGCTGCAAGGTAGTGATGGTGCTGGTGGTGGATGGCAGGAGGGATGGGATGGCAGGGCCACTTCAAAGACCATCTGGGATACGGTTCTTTGTTGCTCCTACAGTCCGTCCCTTGCACACAGGTTATCATGTGCTCGTTAGTTATCCGTGTCTGTCTTTCCCTGTTAGGCTCTCAGCAGCTCAGAGGAAGAGACTATACCTCTGTTCAAGTCCACATCTCCAATACCTGGCACCTATACGTTGAATGAATAGTCCGGTATGGCTCTACCTCCAAAACTTAGCCAGAATTCAGCCACTGTGCACCACCAAACCCCCCCAGGGTCAGGGCTCCTGTCATCTCTGGCTTGGATAAGGATCATCGCCTTCCACCTGCACTCCCTCCCTGCTCCCAGTCTATGCTCTAACAGCAGCCGCAGGGACCCTATTGAAATTCAAAAGCCCTCCAATGGCTTCCATCTCCCTCAGATTAACAGTGTCCAAGTTTCCAGCCGCCTGGAAACCCCTGCAGGATCTGGCCACCCCAGTTCAGTCACCTCTCTGATCTAGTCCACCTGCTCCATCCTAAACTTGCTGTCCTGGAACACCAGGCCCACACCCACCCCACCAAGATCCTTGTGCTTCCTGCTTCTCCTCCAGGGAACACTGCCCCAGAGGCCCCCACCACCTGCATCCCTTGGCTGCCATTCTCTCTCTTCCCCGACCATCCCACTGAGGGCTGAAATCATACCCCTTCCTGCCCACCCTGGCACTTCCCACTGCCTTTACTTTTCTCTATGGCACCTTCTAGCATACCACATAATCTACCTTATATGAGTACTGTCTGTGCCCCCATCCCCATCAGAGTAAACAGACCAAGAATCCTGATTCACAGTCCATGTGACCCTATCGAAATTCACAGTCCATGTGAATCGGGATTCTTGGTCTATTTATTCACTTATTTATACTCAACACCCAGACAACTGCCTGCACGTTGTAGGCTCTCAATAAATACTTGCTGCCTGAATGACGAGGGAATGAATGCTAAGATGTTGGTCAGATGTCCTGTAACTATTTTAAGACAAAGCGGTGCCGGGCGCGGTGGCTCAAGCCTGTAATCCCAGCACTTTGGGAGGCCGAGGCGGGTGGATCACGAGGTCAACAGATCAAGACCATCCCGGTCAACATGGTGAAACCCCGTCTCTACTAAAAATACAAAAAATTAGCTGGGCGTGGTGGCGCGTGCCTGTAATCCCAGCTACTCAGGAGGCTGAGGCAGGAGAATTGCCTGAACCCAGGAGGCAGAGGTTGCAGTGAGCCAAGATCCCGCCATTGCACTCCAGCCTGGGTAACAAGAGCGAAACTCAGTCTCAAAAAAAAAAAAAAAGACCAAGGGGTGAGTTAAATAAACGCCTTTTAAGACAAAGGGGTGAGTTAAATAAACGAAATAACCTTTTACTTCTGATTAGTCCGACATAACTTTCAAAGTGCTGGCCTATCCTGGTCTCACTGAATTTTTCTGTACATGAGGAAACCCATACTTTTGTGAAGCTAAGACATTTAGAAATTAGAAAGTTTGGCTGGGCGTAGTGGCCCACGCCTGTAATCCCAGCACTTTGAGAGGCCAAGACAGGTGGATCACTTGAGGTCAGGAGTTCGAGACCAGCCTGACCAACATGGAAAAACCCCTGTCTCTAATCCCAGGAGGTGGAGGTTACAGTGAGCCGAGATCACGCCATTACACTCCAGCCTGGGGAACAAGAGCGAAACTCCATCTCAGAAGAAAAAAAAAAAAGGAAAGAAATTGGGAAGCTTTCTTTGAAAAAAATAATTTTTAAAATACAAAATTAGGTTAAAAACCTTTGGGGACGATGAACAGATCTAGGACTAACTGCCCTGGTATGACTCTTGGCTCAGTTGTTCAAATATGGCAGCCCAGCAAGGATACTTAGTTAAGGGAACCTCCTCTCAGAAACCAGGCAGGACCACCCCCAACAGTGCTGCTTCCTTTGCAGCCTGTGGTGAGCAGCAGTGGGGAGACCCCGGCCCCCATCAGCTGAAACCCTCACCCCAAACATCACAGAGGACTCAGCCTATGCAAGAAGCCCCTGCACAGCTCACAACTATGCTCACCCTCTACCACAAGGTTCTAGGCTCTGCTGCCAGAAAGGCCATCTGAGCCCTGGGTGAGAGGCTAGCAAGGGGGCAGGACAGGAGCCACACCCAGGGGTCTAAGGCAGGCTCAGCCATCTTCTTTTTTTTTTTTTCTTTTTTGAGATGGAGTCTCACTCTGCTGCCCAGGCTGGAGTGCAGCTGGCGTGATCTCAGCTCACTGAACTTCTGCCTCCCAGGTTCAAGTGATTCTCCCACCTCAGCCTCCCAAGTAGCTGAAATAACAGGTGTGCACCACCACAACTGGCTAATTTTTATATTTTTAGTAGAGACAGGGTTTCACCATGTTGGCCAGGCTGGTTTTGAACTCCTGACCTCAAGTAATCTGCCCACCTTGGCCTCCCAAAGTGCTGGGATTACAGGTATGAGCCACCACGCTTGGCCCATCTTTGTGTTTCTTTCTTTCTTTTTTTCTTTTCTTTTCTTTTCTCTCTCTCTCTCTCTCTCCTCTCTCTCTCTCTCTCTCTCTCTCTTTCTTTCTTTCTTTCTTTCTTCTTTCTTTTTTTTTTGAGATGGAGTTTCTCTCTTGTTACCCAGGCTGGAATGCAATGGCACGATCTCGGCTCACCACAACCTCCGCCTCCTGGGTTCAGGCAATTCTCCCGCCCCAGCCTCCTGAGTAGCTGGGATTACAGGCACGCGCCACCATGCCCAGCTAATTTTTTGTATCTTTAGTAGAGACGGAGTTTCACCATGTTGACCAGGATGGTCTCGATCTCTTGACCTCGTGATCCACCCTCCTCAGCCTCCCAAAGTGCTGGGATTACAGGCGTGAGCCACCACGCCCGGCCATTTTTTTTTCTTTCTTTTTAAAAAACTGTACATACTGGTTGAATAGCCCTTATCTAAAAATGTTTGGAACCAGAAGTATTCCAGATTTGGGGTCTTTTCAGATTTGGGGGATATCCACATTATATTCTTACCAGTTGAGCATCCCTAAACCTAAAATCCAAAATCCAAAATGGGCCAATGAGCATCGCCTTTGAGTGTCACATTAGCACTCAAAATGTTTGGAACTTTGGAGTATTTCAGATTTTGGATTTTCAGATTTGGAATGCTCAACCTGTATTTATGGGGTACAAAGTGATGTTATGATATACGTATACAA